AATTACAGCACCAGGTCAGTGGCAAACAACATAATCAAAATAAACTGCAACTCCCCAGAAACATACAGAAAGATGATAAAATTTATGAGAGAAAACAACAACATATTCCATTCGTACCAACCAAGAGACGAAAGGGCCTATAAAATAGTCATAAAGGAAACTGTAACAACGCTGGGCCTTTGCACCAGAATTATAGTAGTGAAAGCAACAGTCATGTCAACAAAACCATGAGTATTGATGGTGTCTTTTACATATGTTTATAAACTGTCAATTGGTTTGCTTTTTGCTGAAGATTTTCCTTACCTATATGCTATCCCATTCCTCCAAATCATCATTGATAATAACTTCAGGCTCCACAAAGCATTATGTTAGCCATGCTGATTAAAACACCATTTTATAAGCATACTTTTATTATTTTATAGAAAGTTGATAGGCTTATAGAACCATCACGCCCATGCATTTGTCTCTTCACCTCACTCTATGTAGTCTGGCAATAAAGTTCCCACACTGATGCCACAGCATTCCCATTAGGTGGTGGTGAAAGGAGCTACAGCCAAATACTAAGTGTAATCCTATGAGGAATAGTCAGTAAATAGGTCACAAATTGATACAAAACATAAAAACATGGAAAAAACATTTGTTGCTCAGCATATCCTCCACCAGCATTGATACACTTGTCCCATTGCTTTACCATTTCATCAGAAACTGCAGCATAAAAGTATTCTTTCTACTGTTGCCTCAGCTACTTCCGCACCTGGTTGGGAGACATCTGCGAATTTCAAGTACCCTTCAGACAATTTCTCGACCCACTTGCCAACCACTTCACTTGAAGAACACATCCTACTATAAATGGGAAACATTTCCTTATGAATATTATCTGCATTGAGTTCTTTTGTCGGCAAGAAAGCACACAACAGAACAGTGCTCTTTGGTAGTGTCTCCCTCAAGCATGGTCACCATTTTGACTACTGAAACCAGCTTCTGAACATGCACAGGCATGTCTGCTTCCTAGGCTGTCATGTACCTATTGATACAAATAGGAAACCTACTACATCCATTTCACCTGTTTCATTTCCATTTCTGACCTATTTATTGACCCTCCCTCATATCTATACCAACAAAGCAGTGGTCAGAAAATGCAATCACTGACAGTTCACGAGCAGCAGCTCGGTAAGTCGGTTGTGTTTTTAACTACTGTCACTTTTTAGCCATGGGGCAATGAATAAATACCAAATTTTATATATGAACTAGATAAAACGCCGAAAGAAACTTACGACATGTTGCAAACCTCTCTAGGGTGATGAAGCTGTAAGTCATAACAGTGTATCTCAATGATTTAAACAATTCAAAGATGGGCATGACAATCATCAGTATGATCCAAGAAGCAGGTGTCCTTCAACTGCTCGAAATGCAGACAGAATAGCAGTTGTCTTTGAAATGACAATGCAAGATCGTCGATGAGCTCTCAGAATGATGGCGAATGAATTATACATCAATAAGAAGACTATTTATCTGGTCCTCCATGAATATTTACAGAAAAGGAAAATATGCCAAAAGTTCATGCCACACAGAAGAGCAGAAACATTGGAGATTCACATCACACCAAGACTTCATTCAGATTTGTCAAGATAATCCCAATTGGCTGCATTTCTGGCGTTTATTTATTTATTTGTTCACTTCATATCCATGGATCATTATACATGATTTTATGTCCACTCAGCCTTTAACTGAAATGAGTACCAGGGGTTAAAGGGTACCTGGCACATAAGGATGACAAACTTGCCGCCCTCTGTGAGTTTACTGCCTACAGAATGTAAGAGCTTCAACTTTTACAACAGTAAGGGCCTCCATGGCCTGGTACAGAGATAGCTTAAGGAGAAGACTACCATCTAAGGAAAGAGGTTTCACAATGCTGTGGAACGATCAAACTGAAAGTTTTTCATTTGAAAGCCTCTTGACAACTTTTTCAAAAACTTTCTCGACACATGTATTCAGGTAGGGGGTGATTACTTTCAACAGAAGTGAAACAATTTTTATTTCCTTGTATTCTTTATTTCTCTTTTCACACCAGTCTGGGAACTTAATTGCCGGACCCTGTATTTGATGCAGTATATACACAGATTTGAACCGTGCAACGGTTCTTCTCCGTCAAGTTCCTTGGAGTCCCCCCCCCCCGGAAATGCCAGGATGCGAGGCGTTCCCTTCTTTCCAACTAACGTCCTTGACTCACGTCTGGTCAGCTGACCTTGTCCCTCACCTCCTGGACGTATCCGGAGGTTTCTTGGCTAGCTTAGTGAAGCTAGTCGTTATCCCTTCCCACGGATCTTCTTCTGAACGCATCGCTACGTTTAACTTCTGTTTGGAGAAAGTTGATTTGAAATTTGGTTTCGCCAGGTAGCACAGATCCGAGGCAGGAGTGCCCTCATGATTTTGTCAAGGGTGGATCAGTCGTGAGGTAAATCTTTGAGTTTGTATGACCAGAATACAAGTAAGTGACTTACTGAAATGGCGTACGCCGTAAGGCGCATTTTTCGCTTGATCATAGACGCCGTGTGGCGTAGTGTAATTTTGGTTTTGTTAAAGGTTGCGATAAACAGTAGATCGCCTTTCCGGCGTGTCCAGTAGCATATTCAAGCTGTCTATCTTTGCTTGTGTTACGAAGGCTTGATCGAGTACATGCTGTACTGGAGAGTTTGAAATACGCCATGAGGCGTGGCCGAGTTGAGTTGCTGTGCTGTTGGGCGCAGCGTAATTCTGCATTAATTACCTATCATATGTTTTAACCAGTCACTGCCCTTCGGGGTTGTTCATTTGTATACTTATGTTATCAATATATATTTATTTATATGTTTGAGAACGCCAGTTGAGTGTATGTATACTTGTGCAGTATGTTCCATACCAGTTCCTGCCTAGCGGATCCGTCCAGCTTGGTCCATCCTACCGACGGTGGTTTTTCTCCCTCGAGATCCCTTACTCAATCTTAGGGAGGCATAGTGCATCACGCTAACAAGCAAGTCGTTTCTTAATAGCCTGTCCCTTACCCATATAGAGAATGAATTCACGGGTCAAAGTGGGTAGAAGAACGCGGTTCTCTACCCACAGTGTCGAGGGACACGGCTCAGATTACATTGAAGCTTGGGATAAACACTATGCCCATGGAGCCCACCCTACTTCAATGCTTCCAATTTCATACCAGTTTCATGCTGCAAACTTCTTTGAGAATATAACACACTAAGCTAGTCAAATCAAATGTTCACTACTATGCTCTTAAGATCCCACCCTGGGATATTATCCCAAGCCATATCTAAATTTTATGAGAACAGTTTCTTGACATAATTGTGCATAAGTGTCCTCAGTTATTTCAAGGATCAATCATTCCCATACAGATTCATCAAATAAGAATTTCACTGTTCTATGGAAATCAACAATTTATATAATTATGAATTTCTAACTTCACCAGCCTGTGCAAAATAGATGACAGCATTTAACAGACACCAGGTATGAAAGTTATATTTATCACAAATCTTCCTCATACCCATAAAATCCAGGAGTATGACAGACACTAATTAACTGCACAGCTTCCGCATGATCACAAGAATACCTGTTATCATGTGACTACTTAAGTATAAGTAAGACACACTATAAAGTTTCAATTTCCAGGACTGCAGTATCTGTCATGATTGCGAAGGTTTCAGCTGGTACTTTCATACCATTATAAGGTTAAAATGAGCAACTTTCACACTGTTATTTACATTTTATTGGATAAAAACAACATTATACAATTCTCATAATTTTATTAAAATTAACTTAAGATCATTCCAATCCATGCAAGTAGCATCAATCACAAAAATTATTTCTTCTAATTTAACTGGATTGAATCAATCAATAAACCAATCACATCTTCAAACATCACTTCGTACAACACTCAGTAAATAAGCAGTTACAAATCTCTGATATTCAATTCTGATCTCAAACAAACTTTCATTTCAAAATTATTCAAAGCCTTGCACACCATTCACAAACTGGTGACTGTACTGCATATGTCGCTTAGAACGCCCAGTCTTTTCCTTCTTCTTCTTCTCTTGTTTGTCCACCTGAAAAACAAATGTAAAATTATTATACTACTGTGAGTGCAGACCAAGGTATGTTTATATGTTAGTGTTAATGTGGATAACCACAGACTGTACACATTTAAACACCAGGAAAATTAACTAATTAATTCCTGGTACTCATTTCTGTTATAGGCTAAGTCAACCCGAGGGTCATTGTGCGGCTGGAAGGCTTAGGTCGACTGAAAAAACCCAATGACCTCATCGGGACTTGAACCCGCGATCTTCCAGCCTGTAGCATACTGCATCAACCAACTATGCTACCTCGTATTCTATTCACTTATAAGCCCCCCCCCCCCGTTTTTAACACTTCTCTTAATTTAATTCTGGGATAATATTCTTAATATTTTTCACACATACTTCCTTACTAATTTTTTTAAAATACTTACTTACTTACTCAGGGAGCTGAGCCCATCTTGAGGAGTCGCCAATTCTGCAGCTACACACGAATTTCCCAACATTTTATGGAATCCCAAGTGCATTACCGTGTTCACAAGGGTCCTGCACTTGTCCCTATTCTAAGCCCTAGGACTACTTACAGGACACTGTCACCTCAAAGGACACCTGTTCAAACTGGGACTAAGTGATAGTCCCACTTGTGAGAGGTGTCAGATAGAAAATGAAATGGCCACACGTCCTGTGTGGATGTGAGGCTTTAGCTTCTTAAAGACAATGTTACTTGGGTCAGTACTTTATGGAACCAAGTGACTATTTCAACGCCCCCACGTCCAAAATCCTGCGCTTCAACCGAAGCGTGGGGTTGCTGAGGGAATAATTAAAAAGGGGAAGCACAATGGACCACTGAGGTCTAAGTGCAAGGGCCGAGTAGGCCTACCCCTTCATACATACATACATACATACATACATACAAGTCATTGCTAGTGGATCTATACCATCCCATCCTCTAAGATCCATTTTAATATTGTTCACCCACCTATGACTTGGTCTTTCCGAGGTAGCTAGTTCTCCGGTAGAGCTAAGATTCAGCTCTCAGATCGTTTGGCAGGGTCTCGTTCAGGAAGGGAAGTGGGAACTCCTGTTATAACACACACGCACACTTTGTTCCACAAGACAATTTATTACTATTAGCTTGTTCGTGATTTACCTTTAAACACTGGATTACACTTGCCTGTTAAGATAGGTGAACCCTGTTTAAAACTGAATGAAGATGGTATTTATTTTATATATTTTTATTCAGTAATATAAATCCAAAATGTAGATGGCACAACTATCTCGCTTCAACAACACATACCAAAGAACAATCCACAAAATGTTATAAATGATGTGCAGCAAACGAACCTTCTAAAGTTTCAAGATATTCATATTTTTACCATTTTGACAGAATGAGAAACGACGTCAACAGAAGTAATGAACATTATTTCCTCAAACTGCATAATAATAATAATAATAATAATAATAACGACAACAATAATAATAATTCATAACAAGACATTCTGCCAAAGGAATGTGAATCCAAAACACAGTCAAATTCTTAGTACTACTGCTACATAATACCAACACTTGCTTTCAATACTAGTCCAAACCTGTCAACACAAACTGGATCATCTTAATTCAAGTTATCAAGCAGTTTTGAAACATATGCATGTTATTTGCAATACCATGAGTTTTTATGCTGCTGAGTTAGAAAGCTTGTTGCAAATACTACTTTTCCCAAGTAATCTAATATATAACCATGCTTTCACAAATGGCTCCCACAGATATTCTTGCCATGATTGACTGTTTTCTTCTGATTTTCAAGAGTCAGTATGACAGTATAATGTTGTCATATGGCTGATCAGAGTATTACTTCCTGACTGACCTACTGATGTGGCAGTACCTTCATCTACCTCTTTGAGCTCCTCTGACTGGCTGCTTCACTAATCGAACAATTTTCTCGCCTACACCACCAAACAATAAAGATTCTTGTGGTAATTTTCATAGTTTCATCTACTGTTTGTTGGTGGTGATCAGCCTGTAGACCTGATCCAGTCAATGTCAACGCTATTCATAATGGCAACTGTGGCATACCATTCCGCTGAATTCAGAGATCCACCTTCGTCGTCATAGTCTCAAGCAGAGTTACAGACCATCAGTCTTTGCCAGCATCTCAGAAGGACAGGTGTGACAGTGGTGTCAGGCATGTCCTGCTTGCAGCAAGGTTTATATCAAAAGCAGCTGTTTTAACAATGACCGCTGACAAAGGTTACTGAGAACACACTAGCATGTATTGCAGCACTTATATCCTCCTCCATTTGCTCAGCAACAAGTAATCTCTTGGAAACATCCTCAGGGATTTCCTTGCCTTGACTTGCAAAATAATTTGATGTAGAGGCATAATGTAATATGAGCAAAGATGTAGGTCCTTGTAGTTAGACCAGTACAACTCTCTGAAAGCAAGACAATTGATGATATTAGGCTCCTGAGGATCTTATCATTTTAGCTGTGGTCCGAACAAATAACGTCATTTCCTAGACAAAATTATGTATGGCTGTTCACCGGTCTCAGTCGAGTACTGGGAAGGAGACACGTCATACCGCATCTACTCTAAACTCTTGGAGGCTGCATCAGCAGAAACTAACGAGAAGTGAGTCACAGGATGCAATCCATAAAGCGGAAGTCCATCCTAATATCTCTTGCACAGGTGTGAGAACATGAATTGCACTCCATCCAACTACATGCTACGTCATGCATGTGCAGTTTAAGAGTTGGGCACAGGACCATAAAGAGTAGGAATTGAAGCTAGGGGCCTACGGTTAATGTGAAAGACATCTGCTGAATTATTTGAACTAATGTATTTTCTATTTCTATATCTATTTTATTTTTCGTATCTTGTGTATTGTTAAGTTCATCATTCTTTCCTTAGATTAGAGCAGAAAATTTCTGCTTAAATTTCATATATCTCCAAATTAAGATATTTTGGAATTTTTTGTAAGAATACACCAGACTCAAGACAAATATTAAATGGGAATTCAACAGTATTTTAGTTCCCAGAAAAGCAATTTCTTAGTAACGTTTCACAATATTTTCAAGGTCTATTACTACATATTATTTCTGGACCCTAAAATATGAAGCACTTATATTTCTTACATTCCCCCAAGTTTTGTGCATCATTGACGTTGTTGCTAATGATACCACGAAATGAAATAATATAACGATGGAGCTGTCTCAAACTGCATTACATTCATATTTTTACCTTGAAAGTTAGACGTATCGTGTGACGAAACCTCTTCTCACACTCCTTGTTGTTTGTCTGCTCCTGCCTTTGGTCTTGTTCTTTTGAGGCCTAAAGGTAAACAAATACAGAGTTCTCTGATTTGTACAATATGCACGACAAAATAATGCTGTGTGGTACTGATAAAGAGTTCTCTCCCTTTAATATCCAAACACACTCAACACGTAAAATGCCACAATTGTATGTTTATTATATTAGGGTTTTACATGCATTCAGTGGTCTGAAATCCAATCCAAACATTTTTTTTATTGCTAGTGGGGTGGGACTAAGTCCCTTGTACTGCGGCCACTTCTGGCCTATTGTGCAAGCCCCAGATGATAGGTGAGGGTGATTGTGGAGCAATTTGTGTAATGAAGATTGGCAGAGGCTATCAAAGTATGCGGAGAAAACTTGCCCCAGCGCCACTTTGTCCATCACAAATCTCACTTGACCAAACCCGGGATCGAACCCGGGCAGCCGCTGTGAGAAGCCAACGACTAATTGCTTGAGCAATGGCGCGGCTATCCAAACAATTAGTATTAAAGTAAACTTGAGGTCTGAAGTTTGCCCAAAACTAGGTTACACACAGTGCTGTTTGCTCATAGTCAGCCCTGTATCCACGGATAGCCAACGATAAGGATGACTGTCAACTGAGCCTGGGCAAGTAGGGTGAAGGCGTAACGTCACACGGCACACAATCTTATCTCTGGGAGGCAGAATCAACACGTGTGTGTTACATGTTGATGGCAGTATAGGTTATAGAAATCTGTATTTATATAATATCAAACATATGTATTCATTGTTACGAAATGTCATAAGAAGCCTCGTACCTGGACAGATTTCTTGGATAAACGACATAAGCGAAAGGTAATGGATATGAGATTTAGTACTTGAATTGTTAGAAGACTGTATAGGGCAGGCACGCTCAGAGCAGAGGCGGAAGAAATCTCAAAATACAAGATAGATTTAGCGGGAGAACAGGGGATCAGATGGGGCGGAGATGGAACTGAACCAGCATGCGAATATACATTTTTCTATGGAAAGGGGAATGAAAATCATGAATTAGGTACAGGTTTTCTCGTGCATAAGAGAATCTTGTCAGCAGTTAAGAAGGTAGAGTTCGTTAGTGATAGGATATCATACATAATTCTAAGAGGCCGCTGGTGTGATATCATCATTCAGAATGCTCATGCCAAAACGGAAGCTAAAATTAATGATATAAAGGATATGTTCTAAGAAGAACTTGAACTTGTAATTTGATAAATTCCAAAAATACCAAATGAAAAATTTGTTAGCAGATTTCAATACCAGAGTGGGTAGGGAAGATATTTTCAAACAAAGAATTGGGAATAAGAGAGCACGAAATAATTAACGATAATAGAGTTAGAGTTTGCTACATCGAAAAGTGTTACTGTCAAAAGTACAATGTTCTCACATCATATTATCCATAAATTTAATTGGATATCTCCTAATGGGAAGACATACAATCAAATTGGCTATATTGTGATAGATGGGAGATGGCATTCAAGCATACTTAATGTCCAATCGTTCAGGGCAGCAGATTGTGATACTAACCACTATCTGGTGGTGGCAAATTAAGAGAGAGGCTGGCATTGAGTAAACAAGATTGAACAAGATTTACATGGAGAGGTTCAATATGAAGAAATTTTAATGGGGTATAGGATAAAGAGATGCTGAAATCTCAAACAGGTTCGCAGCTTTGGAAAACTTAGACACTGGAGTGGATGTTAATAACGCTAGGAAAATTGTTAGAGAAAACATCAAAATTTCTGCAATGGATAGTCTAGGTTATTATTGTTGAGAATCTAGTAATGTAAAAATGTTCAAGTTGGTAATAGTGATAATAGTGATCTATATTAATTTGTTTTTGTTTTGTATTATAATAAAAAATTTCTTCTCATCCAATATGGCTGTTAAGTGATTTGTAAGCACGACACAAAGAAAATCAACAGGTTATGTGCCCGGATTTGCTCAAAAACAAAAAAAAAAGGAGAAGACAGAAGAAGAATAACGAAAAAATGGCAACCACAGAGACAGAAGAGGTGACGCATCTGCCAAAATTGTAGGACGCCGACTCATTTCCATTGTGCGATTTTGAAATCAAGATTCTGATGCGTGCAAAAGAACTGATAAACATCGTTGATGGCAGCGACCTGTTAAGTGACCAAGGAAGAGACGAAGAAAATATAAGGAAATGGAAGTTGCGAGGTGCAAAGTGCCAATACTACATAGTGAGAACGATAGAGAAACACGTGAAGACCCACATTGTGAGATGCACAACCGCGAAAGAAATTTACAACACCCTGAAGCAAATTTATCAGCGAGACACCTCTCAACAGAAGTGCCTTCTGCTGCAAGACTTCTACAACTTCAGGTACGACAAAACTAAGGATATATTGTGACATGTTGCGCAAAGGAGAACCCCTCCCTACACAGCAGCAACGTGGCAACTCAAGCCACAGTGACGTGGCGGATAAGTCAGCGCTCCCCTCCCGCCCCACCGCACGGTAGCGTAACGCGCAACGCGCTGTGACGTAAGACGGCGCGAGGTAACAGCGTTGCTAGGCTATACTCAAACACGGGGACGCGGAACCGCTTCCTACTGTGACGTGGCACGCAACAGGCAACAGCGAACAGAATAAAAGCCGGCTGAGCGGTAAGTGTGAGTTAGTTGTAAAGTGGCCATCGCCGAGTTCAGTTCCGAGTTAGTTCCGAGCAAGCCTACGAGCGAGTGTGTTATCAACAGTTCTTAAGGCAGCAGCCTGCGAGTCGAGTTCAAATATAGCAGCCGTCGCGGAAAGAAGTACCGGACGTGTGTGTAACTGAGAATTAATTGGGAATGTGTGATACAGTAACACTTATATAGCTCCCGTACTGTGAAACGTGTAGACTACTGAAGATAGAGTGAACTGATTTGCGAATAGGGCTATAAAGTGTGAAACCCCGCAACAATGTAAACAGATTATTGCGATTAGGGTTATAAAGTGTGAAATCCCGCAACTGTGTTATAATTAATTGTAGCTGTGATTTGTAGGTTGTTAAATAAACCAATTAACAATCCGAACGGCGTCCTCAGTGTCTAAACACGTTACAATATGACTTCTAAAACCAGACCCGATAAGGCATTCACTCTAAACGTGGAAAGTCGAACCTTAGAAATTCCTGAAAAAATAGCTGTTCAGAATGTGAAAAGGATCCTTAGGTATGTGAAAGGTACAAGAAATTCAGGAATAAAATATACCTCATCTGACTCCGAAACTATGAAACTGGAAGCATTAAGTGATGCTGATTATGCAGGGTATGTAAAGGATAGGAAGAGTTTAACGGGATATGTAATTATGATGTCAGGGGGCCCAATATCATGGTTCTCTAGGAAACAGAGTATTGTTGCATTATCAACCACTGAGGCCGAATATATTGCAACATCTGAGTGCTGTAATGAACTGAAATATCTAAAGACGTTGGTAAAGGAGTTGACAGGAAAAAGAGTGGAAGCTGAACTGTTTGTCGACAATCAGAGTGCAATCGAGCTAATAGAATATGGACAAGTAACGCGTAGGAGTAAGCACATAGACGTTAGGTATCACTACATAAGTGAACAGTTGAAAGAGAAACTGTTCTCAATCAAATATTGTAACACTGAAACTCAGGTGGCAGACATTTTAACAAAACCGCCATCACCAGAGAAATTTACAAAGTTTAGAGACATTATACTTAAGAAGAAATAAATTGTACTTAGGGAGCCGTGGTGCCTACAGAACTTCGGCAGTTATTTAAAAATTTCAACACCCACACACGTAAGCTTTTGAAAAGTCATATATATATAAAGAGAGAGAGACCATGCAAAGGCGCTAAATGTAACAATTTCTCAAAAGAACATGTTCAAATTTTGTATTTGAATAAAAAAGAACACAATTCATAAAAGAATGCGAAAGCGTGAGACATGATAATCTGCACAGAGAAAGACACCAACATACGTGTAGCATTAAATCGCCACTTATTGTTCTCGGGCAGAATTATCTTTCAGTTCAAATGCAAAGTTCCCGCGTTCAGTTCTGTAGCGCCTCTATATTTTGCCTGCTTGTCCCTGTTTCTTGGCTTACTGTTGGAGCCTGAGGATGAAGGTTATGTTCTTCCTAAATACATGACTATCCGCACTCACACACAAGCACAGAGCACAAATACTCGTATACGCAACACTACGAGGGGCACAATATCAGAGGAATTTCAATTATTAAATTTTTTAACTTTTTATTTTTTAAAGTTTGATAATAATAGAATAATTAGTTTGTGCAATTAAAAAGAATTTAATACCTTGCGAGAAGAAAACATGTCGCAAAGCACTGGAAAATGAGAATGAGAAAAATGGTGGTTAAATCAGGAAACTCAGAGAATATTGTACTGAAGATTGTTTGTGTAAATAAGCAGCATATGAAGTGAAAACATAATGTAGCAGGATGGTAAACTACAACTGCATGACAACTGGTACCAGCATTCAAGTAATATTAAGCTTGTTGCCACAAGAATTTGACAGGTGTCGGTATCGCTGATTTGAGGGATTTTAATTACATCCTGAGGCGGATTCCTATGGCAGGATACACGTACAAATTTTCAAGATATTTACATGCTTTCAACCAATTTGAAAGGTTGTAAATTTTGTATTGCTGATGGGAGGAATTTATGAAAAAAGCCATTTTGATGAGCACAGATGCCATGATATGCATAACAAGTCTCATTATGACTGGCGCAAAAGTTGTTTGGGGGGATGCAAGTACATATGTACGGCCATACACGCACACTCGTAAACACAATAGCAAAGTTACCTCATAGACCTGTTTTATTTTGCAAAATAATTAAAGTAGGCCAACTATAAGAGTCGGAAGAAATATTTTAGGTTCATTCGTATTGATGTACGGAAATTTCTGTGCAAACTTCATAGGAAGAGGATGTTCTATGATGAAAACATATGTTTGGAACCAAGGAGGACACACGTCACATGATGGGTACAGCAACACAAGTAGGCCTTGGCGAAGAGTTCTATATTCTGGGATATAACGCCATTAAATCCGCCCAGAGTAAACCGACGTTTCAGAGAAACATGTCACCTCCATCTCCATTGTTTAAGAATAAGCCAAACAAGAAGCCAGCACGAGGCAGTTATTAAACAGGCTTTGTTAATTTCTTGCTTAACTCATTCTATGATTTTGATGACGGAGGCGATGTCTTCCTCCGTAACTTCGGCCGACTTTCAACGGATTACACCGCGCTACATTCCAGAAAGTGAAAAACCTCAAATCCTTTAAGACTTTCACATATCTACAATTTTAATAATATTCAGTAGTATCAACATTAATGAAAAACAGTTTGACAGTTAACAGATTCATGCTTACAACCAGATATGGCGAAGGGAAGAGACATACAAGTATACTGATTATATATTTGTGCTGTAAACACTCAAGAAATTCAATTATCGGACCGTGGTAAAACTGTAGGCAATTCTTAATTACATTTAGAGATCCACATGCAATATGTGGACAAGTTGACAAGTTGAACTGAATTAACTACACACTACACCATATAGATGTATGTGGCAGTATAGCTCCACCATTTGTATTGTAAGCACTAGAAATAGGTGACTGGTCAATTTCACTCCTCGCCTGCTTTACCCCGAGGAAAAAACTCCTCTGTACATATAGTATAGGAAGCTGGTAAGGCCCAGATCAGGTCTGAATGCTGAGGAGTGGAAGGAAATCTCTTGTCCCTGCCGGAAATCTAACCCCCACCATCCAACCCGCAGCCGGACGCTATACCCACAAACGCATCTCGGCACCCCTAATGCATTCTCTTTACATATTGAAATAGAATGTGAAATCGCCATAATTGTTAGTCTAATTTATTCCTCTTATTTACACTACCCCTGAAGATGGTCATCTTATGACCGAATTATTACTTGTGTGTCTGATAAGCAAAACGCAAAATTTTCCTTGTGTCCAATTAATTAAGCAATGTGCTGTGAAGGCATATGGGTGAGTGAAATTGCAGATCCATTTTCCTTGCACTCGCTTTGGATGGAAATGAGTGGCATCGCGCTTCGGCTGCTTTACTCAAGGGGAAGGAACCACGCGTTAACCATTCAATAGGACGCAGCCGGTCTAGACGCTATGAGGCAGAAAAATGTGGACATATCAACACGTTGTTGGGCGACAGACTAGATGAACAGTCCGTTGTTAAGTTAGGAAATATTGGAACGACGCTATGCAATCTGCTTCTACGCGCCAGCCGGTAAACAAGACTCACGCGCAGGCACAATAACATCATGTTGCAGTAGCGAGGAGTGGCGTGACCTCTTCGTTCCCGCGAGTGACGTTACAAACCCTCATCCAGCCCGTCGCTACGCAATGTTTGGTAAACAGCCTTCCACACTAGGCTGCCGTCACGCAAAAGTGGTAGCTTTCATGTAACTGGTTTCTATGGAGTCCGTTTCTGTGCAATCGCTCAGTAAACACGTTCTAACAATATGGGCTATTTTCTGTGTGGTCAGTGCGTAGGCTGTATAACAACAGATACAGAAAGAATAGGAGGCGACGAGAGGGAAGTCTCAAGTCTAAGACAGTAAAATATTGTAGCGAGTCCCAAGAGAATTGGACCCGAGAAATACCGCGCTGGCAAGGGCCAGTAGCATATACAAAGGGCAGACCAGTCCTCTCGTCAGAGAGGGCGCCCCACAGAAATAAGACCGTAACTGTCAAACAGCAATAAATATCTGGTCATGAACCACCAGGATGGTGCTCGACACAGACTTACTGACTGACTGGCCGTCAGTCGCTTTGTGACTTTGACTTTGAAGGGAAGTCTCAAATCTGAGCCAGTAAAATATGTTCGCGAGTCTCAAGGGACTCAGACCCGAGAAAGACTAAGCTGGCAAGACCCAGTACATGTAAAGAAGACAGGCCTGTCCTCTCGTCAGATAGGGCGCCCCACAAAAAAAAAAAACCGTAACGTTCAACAGTAATAAATATCTGGTCATGAGCCGCAGACGGGGCTAGACACCAAGACTTACTCACTGACTGACCGTCAGTTGAAATATGACTTGGACTTGGGATAGAAATCAGTGACTCCCGCGTGGAGGCGGGATCGAATACCTCCACCGTGACCCTGCGAGTCGTAGGAGACGAAAAGGGAAGTCTAAAATCTGAGACAGTAAAATATGGTCGCGAGTATCAAGGGACTCAGACCCTAGAAAGACTGCATTGGCAAGGGCCAGCAGCATATGCGAAAGACAGACCCGTCCTCTCGTCAGAGAGAGCGTCCCACAAAAACAAGACCAGTAAATGCTAAACAAAAATAAATATCTGGCTATGATCACCAGTTGGGGCTGGACACCAAGACTGACTGACTGACAATCGCAATGTGACTTGCACTTTGACTTGAACAGAAGAGAGTATTCGAGAGTATTTGAGAGTGGCGGAAGCAAGAGAAGTGGAACCAGGAATACAGAAGATCGCCCTGTGAGGATGTCAAGTGTAACTGGAAGATTTCATGTGTGATACCTGGAGTTATATGAATGACAGTTTCTATGTGGAGATCCGTTGCTAGGAGATGACTAGTGGAAAACAGAGAATCCTAGTGCGCGTGCAACGGTGAACTGAAAGGTGTATAATTCAGCGATAGCCCTGTGTTAAAGTATAATTAAGAGAGAGTGTGTAACGAAGTGGTTAATAAACCCAATTACCAATCCGAACGGCGTTTTCAGTAGGCAAACCCGCTACATTATCTTGCTCATGTCAGGAATAGCACCACGGCCTCCCAGCCCTTAGCCTGTCCCCTTACCGACTGAGCTAGTGTTTGATAAGCGAAGAGGAATAAATGAAATGTATTGGGAAAGTGAATTCACATTCGTTTAATTTAGAAAAATTTATTCATTCCTAGGAAACGTGTTTAGAATGATAACAGTTACTGACTTCTTTGATTTCCTTCTTCCGCAACCTTGGAAGGTTGGACTTGGAGAGGGGACTGTACCTATGAATTACAAAGCTTCATACGAATCTCTTGTACCAAAATTTTCTAAAGAATATAATCTTTATAACGTAGAACTGGGTATCTTTGAAACTAAGAATCAAATATTAGTTTGAGATATGAATACTGTGGTGAGACGATCCTGCAGCTAGCCGGATATGTGAATGGAAAGTACACAGTGTATATCAATCAAATTTCTGAATAACTGTAAATAAGAATTCAAGATGAAAACACGTTAATCTTATATACAGTGCAATGAGAACTAGAAAGTTTTCTTCCCCAAAATTGTCTGCCATGTACTTCTTAAAATTCCTTGTTTCGTATTACATACCTCTAACTCCTTGTCATTGCCGCCGATTTCTTGTGCTTCCGTCGACATGCTAACCACCGACTCACTGCTAGCATAGTCGGAATTCTGGTTTGCCTCGTCGTCTCGAGACATTGGTTTCGGTGGTACACCCATGGTAAGGAGTGGCGATACAGTAATAACTGAAGGAACAATTTCTGCAACACAGCAAAGCACCTATCAGTTTCTATATTACATTCTTCTCTATAATGAAGGACACTTCAACCTCTCTAACCTGAAAATGATAGAAAGATTTTCAACCCCACCTCCAAAATGAAGTAGTGGACGGAGAATCGTCACTGCCTTTTAACTTTGCTTTATTGTGTACCATTATGAAGACCAAGGCTTTCCAGATCAGACAGAAATAATAGAAGACACATGAGCTGCACCATATGCTGACAATTTAAATTCTTTGGAGACAAAAATACAACAAAGGCGTCAAAGAACCTAATTGACGCTAGTGAGCATGCTGAGACTAAATAAACGCAGGGAAATCTAAGTACGTGTAGATGTCTCTTCAACAAGATTCGGGGCAGAAACTTAGCGTGAAATTAGTCGACATAGTATACTTTGAATGTGTGGCAATGTTCAAATATTCGGGAAAAACAGAAGTAAGTTAAAAATTTAGCGGCCTCCGTAGTCTAGGGGTAACGTTACCACTTCATGACTCAAGGTACGCGGGTTCAAACCCGGCGGAGGTCGTGGAATTTTTAAGGGCGGAAAAATTCAGGGAACAAGTCCTCCGGGAGGGACTTTAAGCCGTGGGTCCCGTGTCGTAGATTTATGCACGTAAAAGATCCTCATGTCTCTAGGAGACCTCTGAGCAAAATTAGGCAAGTTTCCCGTCCAAGTAGTTTCCAATGCCTCTGGTAGATGGGGGAAGTATCAAGGTACCGAGGGCCGAACTCGTTGGCTGAACGGGGCTTATAGCACGCACCAGTACCGGTAGGGTATGGCGACTGGTAGAATATCAAAGAGGGACGTACAATATACTATTATTCGCTGTGCATGGGGAAACCCACCACCTCCAATAATAATAAATAATAATAAAACGTTAGAATTTGATTAACGACAGAATTAATAGGTTACTGAATTCGTTCACCGTCAATGTTTTATGAATTAGAATATAAGACATTTCTATTCCTTCTGTTGTTTTGTATGGTTGTCAAGTTTGGCATCAGCCATTGAAGGATGTTCTGAGACTGAACATTTTTAAAACCGGTTACTGATTACTTTATTCGGACGAAAGTGTGATTAAGTCAAAGGAGGCTGGGGAAAACTGAGTAATGAAGAGGGTCATAAAATAATCGATTCTAAAGATGTAATTAGGATGATTCCATAAGGGTGGAAATGATGGGCAGAGAATGTAGTACGGCCTTTGGCCTTTGAATACCAGAGGAAATGAGACCATTGCGCAGATCAAAATGTATCTGAGTGGAAGATATTAAAATGAATCCAAGGACGTTAGGAACGTAAGGTTGTGCTGGAAGTGGGCACCATTGGAGACAACTGACGGCTCATCAAGAAGTTCTCAGCTCACATCAGTTATTTACTAATTAGTGTTATGACAGGAGTCCAGATAGCCCATCTGGTACAACGAAAGCAGGCGTGGCGGTCGGGCACGTTGGAACCCGTCAGTGCAAGATTTGTGTTCTTTCCACTGCGTCCAGACGGACTCTGGGGCACACCCAGCCTCCTATCGAAAGACAAATAGCGACTACGTCGCCGGGTGAATCTATCTGATCAGCCACCTTATACTCAAGACGAGGTCAAGACACCTGGCGGTATAACTCTACTAACTTTCAAGTCTTAATAGCATTTTTAATGACTGATTAAGCTCGGTGGAAATATATTTTATTACATTATTATATTTCTATATCCGCTTATTTAACAATGTGTTTGACATCCTACAGGAACCAGTAAGGACAGAATCACTTCCTAAATGCAATTTTCCCGTTCTCATTGGCTTCGAGCGTACGGATAAATTATCCCATTTTGACGGAAAACTCGACTTTATTACGTAATTACAAGTGTGTATAAAACCGTCACCCGCGGGTCGTCTTTTTGCCGACTGAGCTATCCGGACCACTCCACAACCTACGTAAATATTAATAACTAAACAGAACAGCTTGAGTACTCAGTTCTATTTAAGTAATTTTATATGGGTCATGTTAGATCATTCATTAATGATTATAATTCATTATAATAATCATAATTTCTTTAAAACTTCCTATGGGGTTCCTAATATGTGATATATTAACTTTTTATTGAATTTATTTTTTTAATCAATGGAAATTAATTTTTTATCTTGTGAGCACCCAAGGCCAAACTCATATTCACAAAATTTACCTGCACTTTATCCTCTCTTAACTTACGTCACTTTTGTGTGATATCTTTGTAATCTCTCCATTGGCAATATTGTGACGTGTTGCGCGGTGACGTGGGATAGGAGGATAGAGGATAGAGGATAGAGTGAATTGATTATTAGTTAAGGTTGTAAATTGTGTCAAGCCGTAACACTGTTATAATTATTTGTAGCCAAGACTTGTAGGTTGTTAAAGAAACCGTTTAACAACCGGAACGGCGTCTTCAGTAACAAAACACGTTACAATATATATCAGCCATTTTGTTCGACTTTCGATTTGACGTATTAGTGTGTAATATGACTTCTTTCCGGAAAGAACTGCATTATTACAACATTAAAATGTTCTTAATGCATTGGTGAATATTTACCTGACTGCAACAACATTCAGTAAAGTTCTTGTGTGTATGTGTGTACTCGCGAGACGATGAAACCCTGGGAGACTGAACAATTTTGAATAATGCAATGCAGTAGAATTCTCGCCAGGGACGACTGAACCATGGTCATTGGCGCGGTGAATAGAATGCTGACTATTTAGAGATGGCTCCAATAGGGAAATATTTTACTGCGTGTCCATTTCACCCTTTCATTCTTAGTAGTCTAATTTCCTTATATTCTTAAAACAAAACGAGGCTTATTAGTTAACATTGCAGTCTATGCTGTCACCCTCCTAAGAAGCAGGAACAGAAGAGACAGAAAAGACAGCCCTTTCTACCAAGCGTCTAGGTTAAAATATTTCCGCGGTGTTTTCCGTCTGGTTCTGACTTATGTAACATTTAACATGCAGTGAAATTAAGTCGAAGACTTAGCCTTCCCATAAATTTCTGTATTCTTTTCTTAACAAATAGAATTCACTACGTAGTGCTGATAAGTCTTTAGCTCTTCCAACTTCACCTCCTTTCATCGCATCAAAATTTATTGTTTTGTATATGTCTGACTTAAATTTTATAATTTTAGCCTGATTATTTAATGTCTGTTGCAGACCTCAAGTGAAAATGACGCAAAAGAACGGAGATTTCACTGCGAAAGAGTGTCGATGGACCCTAGAAAGGAACTCGGCCAAAAATATCTACAATAGCAATACCCTATCGGTATCTCTAGAAAATGTAGGCTATATTATTCACGATACTTTAGACATGAGAACGCTCAGAATTACTGGAGATTTCGATCTTTTCCATCTCCGGAATTTTAGGTAATAGAGGACACAACGTTTCGGAAACTGGATCTGTTTCCCCCTTCAGGTGAGAAAGGAAGACACCAACTCAGTTGGGTCTCTTAGAAAGAGCTAATCTCAATTCAGCCACATGGGTTTCCGATGTCTCAATGCTGATCAGAAGTGTGATCTAGTGATTGTTTCAAAGCTATTTTGGACCGATTTCGGGGAGATCTTGTGTGATTTTTCAACAGTCCCGTAACTATGGATGAATCTTAGATTCATACATATGATCCAGAGACCAAAGAATAATCCAAGGAATGGAGACACAGTGGTTCCCCACATTCAAAGAAATTCAAGATACAGAAGTCATCAAGCAAGGTGTTGGCGTCTGTCTTCTGGGACACCTATGGAATGTTGCTTGTAGGCTACCTGGAAAAAGGTGCAACCATCACGTTGCACTTTACGACAAACTGAAGCAGCAACTGGTCTCCAAACATGGAGGCACGCTTTCGAAAGGCATCTGTTTCTTCAAGACCATGCTGTTCCTCACAAGGCGGCCATGACGCACCGGAAATTGGCAGATCTTCGTTTTGAATTTTTGTAACACCCACCCTACTCACCTGATTTGGCCTCAATCAGACTACTACCTCTTTCCTAACCTCAAGAAACACCTAATAGGAAGAAGGATTTCTAGCATTCAGGGGACCACTTCAGTTGCGGACGGCTGGCTTGCAGCACAACCAAAAGAATCTTTCTTGGATGGGTTAAAGAAGTTAGAATAACGAAGTCATACGTGTGTGGAACGCAGGGGGGAATATGTAGCGTAGAGACATTTTTCAATCCCGTAGATTGCTCTTTTCTTTATAAAGCCAAAGACTTTTCTGCGTCCTTCGTATTATAACATAAGGATTGCTAGCATTGCCTTAGAATATTACTTACCTTCCTCGTTAGAATGGGACATTAGAGTAGGAGAGCGGTCTTGCTCATTCCTTGTTGTTACTCCATCATCTGGAACCGGAACCTGGCAAAAGTAACATATCGTAAATCAGTTATCAGATACATTTATAGATTGAGATCCCCGTCATCTGTCGTGTTTGGTATGTAGTGTTCACTCTGTGCATGAAAAATTATACAAAAAATAATATGGATTTAATTATGTTTTTTTCTGTAGTTCTTGCATCACAGCCTTCCTGTGAGTCATCTGGTATTGATGGACGAAACATTTCGAACACGTACGTGTACTGTAACTAGCTTTGCTCTAATAGCATATGTGCACCGGTTCTAGTGGCGGCTAGGATCTTTCTTGTGTTAGTGCTTGTACAACAGAAGTAGTATGATGATTGGCTTGGGTATTTATAATGAAGTCCATTAGTGGACTATTAACGTGAAAGAGGTAAGTTCTTTAATCTCTTTGAGCGACCGCTTCAAGCACTTCAAGATTTGATGCTCAACGTGGTTCTAAAAATCTTTTTTTTAGTGTCAATTCTTTTGGTCTCTAAGATTCATTGACTCAGAAAATTATTCCAAGCTTCTTCAGAGAATAGAAATAGGCAAAATAAATTGAATTGAGTGTGTCAGTGTTGCTAGTATGAAACAAATGATTAATTCCACGACACGCAGCACATTTCAAACAACTGATCGAGATGATTTCACATTTTTGAATGATTATCAATTTTTAGACGATTTGACGTTTCCATAATAATATTCTTTTTTTATTATGTAGGATCTGAACCAACTTGCCCTTGTCATTGAATGACAAGGAAATATAACTAAGTTAACAAATTTTCATGGTGTACATATTTAACATTCATATTGTAATATATAAGAGTACAGATCAGTGTACAAATACAGATATAAATGAAGTTGTTCTATTAACTCGAAAGTAACCAAATTCACAGGAAGAAACATAATACGCGCGATTCGTTGCCCCTCACAACTTACTTTCATTAAGAAAATTGTCTAATATTACTCGGATGGCGTGTATGAAATACCAGAATCATATATACATATTCAAATTAACCGCGGCTTGATAGACAGCAGATAGCATACAAGTGTGCTTGAATTGCGTACATTCTAAATTGCAAGGTTTTGTACCGATATTAACTGCTGGGTTCAAAACTTGAAGAGAGATTGGCAATAAGGAAATAAAAGACGATGAATGTGACACAGAACAATGGGGTTTCATGCAAATGGTTTTAAGAAGTTTTGTACCTTCTAGAATATGATAACATTATTTTCGGTGATAATCAAGGATACATGATTCAACCGCTTCAGAGAAGTAAGCATGAAACACACACACACATCCAACGTGAAGCAAGTAGAAACAGATCTTGTAACCGATACCAGACAGGTTTCTCCCTTACATCTGAACCACGCTACGTGTCACCGCACAACTCACCTCATTGTCTTCGCCACAATTTTTCGGTTTCCTTCTCCAACAGTCCACTCTGGAGGGAATTTTGCTGTAATCGGGAATAGGAAAGCACAAAATTGGACGGATCTCAGAACGCTGGCTGCTTCTGGGGCCCCGATTTACTGTCGTTGATGACTGGGGATTGACACCAGACGCCTGCGCACATCTCACATGGTGGTCCCTCAACTGAAATCCTGCAACAGACCAAGGCCACTCCTGAATACGTAAATATTTCATCCACCACTGCAATGAACGGAACATAAGACACTCAGCACTGCAATTGCGAGAAATTTGTCAAGAAACACCTCCACAAATTGAATATTGCTTGGAGAATTACTTGCTTTACCTGGAGGGAACTTTTGATACTGATATATCACTTATCCTCTCGTGTGTACAGAATATAACACCCTTAACATTATAGATGCTAGATGAAGGAAGCATTTCTTTACATGTCATTTGTAAAAGAGATAGAAAAGCATTGAGAAAACCTTGAGTTGAAAGGGTCTATTCTTTCTCTTTTCTAAATTCATATCTACACATTGTGACATGGCAACACGTTGTTGGGCGACGGGGTGTGGAACGAGTTACCACGAAGGCAGACTTTTGATAAACAGTCTGCTGTTAAGTTACGCAACGGTGGAACGAAGTTGTGCAACCCGCTTCTAAGCGCCTTCCGGCGAACAAGACTTCTGCGAAGACGCAATGACGTCACGCTTCAGTAGTGCGTTTCCGCAAGTGATGTCACATATCCCCCAACCGGGACCGTTTCTACGCAACAACTGGTTAACACCCCTTCCACACAACAATTAGGACGAGCTGTCTTTTCCGCGTTGTCCGATTCGAGGTTACATGACGAGACCGATCCACCGAGTAAAACTAGACAGGAAAGTCTCAAATCTGAGATAGTAAAATATGGTCGCGAGTCTCAAGGGACTCGAACCCGAGAAAGGCTGCGCTGGCAAGGGCCAGCAGCACACATAGAAGACATACCCATCCTCTCGTCAGAGTGGGCGCCCCAAAAAAGCAAGACCGTAAATGTCAAACAGTAATAAATATCTGGTCATGAGCCCCAGATGGGGCTCGACACCAAGGCTTACTGACTGACTGACCGTCAGTCGCAATGTGACTTCGGCTTCGACTTCGAGTGAAACTAGAGAGGCGGAAGCAAGCGAAGTGGAACCAGGAATACACAAGGTCGCCCTTGAGGATGCCAAGTGTGGTTTAGAAAACTTTGTGTGTGCGACGGTGTAGTGATACCGGAAGTGTAACTGGATAATCTTAGGTGTAATATTTCGAGTGATTTGAAGCCACAGTTTCTGTGCGAAGATCTGAGTGTGTACCCAACTGTTAATAAAACCAATCATGCGAACTAGAACCCTTCATTTCGTTATGTCAGGAGGGGTGCGGTATAGGGTACGTGTTCGAGGATATATCCCTATAGTAGTCCATTCCCGAATCGATGAAACACCTTTATATTTTCTAATCAAACAGAAAAGTAATATTTATTTACATTAGCAAAAGAATGACATAACTGATCTGACTAAATCTAGTAGGATTGCAATTACCTCTCTTGTCTATAAAAGTTATCAAGCCTGGCTGTGACCACCCCAGGGCTCTAATTACAGAATGCTGAAAAATACGTGGACACCATATCACCGCTCGACAACTGTGGAGGTCTGTGGTCAGCCGCTCTTGTCTATGGCACCTAGGTTTGTCGGCTCCCCTTGGAGGATGGATCTCGGTTCGATCTTACAACACGTGTGTCTACTAAAGAAGTGACTCTCACTTCCTTTCTGACTAAGTATAAAAATAACAACAGTTTCCCCCAAAGTTCATTCTAACCCTTTCGCTACGATCGCCGCTTATATGCAACGCGGCTTATTTTATAAATGTCGCCGATTGCCGCATATATGCTGCATCACACGCCCTCTAATTCTGACTTCGATTGAAGAACGTGTGTGTTTTCTACCGAAAATTGAATTACGTAGCATTATATGAAATGTAACTGTAACGTTTGACATAAAGACATGTACGGTCTTTGAAGCCTATGTTTGCTAAAATGTCTATACAACCTGTCCAGAGGAAATATTGTAGCGTGTTTGGGTCTGTCACGCTACAAATAACTTTACGCCGTATTAAATATAGCGAATCTTTATTGCAATTCACTTGTACACTTTACAACTATTATGACTTCCAGCTTTACAAGTACTGGTTACACAATCCCTTGGCGTGTAGGTTCCAACCTTCTTCAGCGGCAGCTATTCCAAGACTGACTGGGCGAATGAATTCAACCCCCTTTTATACCCTCGGCTGCTGCTATGCAAATGAACCTTTGTCATAACCGCGGAAACGCTGCTTTGTTGATTCCGCGATTTCTACGCAACGACCCATTTTTATTGCGTTGTCTCTGGGAACGCTCCGTGTATTCGTCGTAACAGTGGAGATTCGATGTTATCGACACATCGGCTCACTGTTGAGATTACAGTATCGCTATTGCTACTTCCTATGCAGCGGTCTGTTCTAGCGTTTCCATAGAAGTGACTCTTCTGGATTCCAAACACGTTACAATATATTCAGGCTTTATTTAGAGTCGTGATTATTGTTCCTGCACACATACGTACTTCGATTAGCTTGGTGAAAACTGTTACGGCACTTAGATAAGCACATAGCTTTGACTGCAGAATGAATGGGGCTTTGTTCCGAGCTAGTAAACAAATAAGGTGTACCCAAGGTAATCAAAGATGCCAAACTGAAACAGGGAGAGATTTTTGCCCAGCACTCTGAGCCAGTGACTGTTATGAAGTGGCGTGATAAAAGGAATGTTTTAATGATTTCTACTTATCACAACGCTGAAATGAGAAGTGGCTCGAAGAGAGGCAAAGAAAAACAGAAACCCTTGTGTGTAATTGATTATAATAAGTGGATTGGTGGCGTGGACTTGAAAGACCACCTGTTGCAAACTTACCTAGTAGAAAGAAAACGTTTGGCTCTACTCAGACACAGAGTGTTTGAGTGAATATGTATATAACAAATAAAAGTGTAGGGTCGTTTGATAACATAGTCATGCTTACCCACCTACACTTGACAATATTATAAATTATTTTTTCCCTGAGATCGCATTGTTAATTTTTTTTTCCATTCTTTGTGCCTTAGTTCTCATTTTTATTTATATCAATAATAATACTATTTCATTGTAGGTAAATTCAAATTATATTTCCCAATAATTAGAGTACATAAACCGATGAGAATCTAAATCATATTTATGATGATAAATTGACAGTAACCGTCATGTAAGTCCAGAAGTTGTGTAGGCTTTTAAAACAAAAGAAATTTAACTTTTTCATTAGATATTTGATATGTTAGATTGCTTTATTATTCGTTCCTTCTGCAAGGAAAATGCATTACTCACACTCACGATTTTTGCCCATTGGTCATTTCATACGTGATAAAAATGTAATGTAGTATGTGTGTAAGGGGGATTGTTAACAAACGTTCGCGCATGAAACATTCAGGGACCGATTAGATCTAAGAAGAGAAAAGCAATAGCGGTCTCGCGGAAGAGGATAAAGCTATTTACGTAGGTGGGATGACTAGGAAACTGACACATTCGAAAATGGCACGAGAAGTATTTGAAAATTAAGAAATACTTAATTTAGGAATAAGGAAGTTTTAAGCAAATAAATGAAGCTCAATTTAAGAATATGTAGATATCTCATCACAAAAATTCAGGGCAAAATCATAGCCTCAATTTGCTCAATGCATCCTTTGAAATTTTGAAAATTTTAGAAAATATCGGAAAAAATATGAGACAATTGCTTCCTAACATTGAATGTACAATTTCTCGCCCGCTGTCAAAAATTGAAAATTAGAGTATACGACATATAAATTTAACTTCGTCCTGTGGCTATGTATCATTTTGAACCTTGGTACTGTTACGAACGCAGGTTCACTCACTGTGAATTTTTCAGTACAAGTTACAGAGGAGAATATTCGGACGAAAGCGGTATTAGGTGAAAGGAGACTGTATTAAACTTTTTAGTGAGGAACGTCACAAAATGCTCGTATTGCATTCTAGAAGGGTAATTGTAATCATTACGTAAAGGAAAGAGTGACTGGCACGGAAATTATTATAAACTCTGTGTAGGTGGAATGCGTAAAAAATTTCTGTAGGATAACCAGAGGAAAGGAGAATATTATGAAAACTTAGACCAATGTGCGTGGAAAATATTAAAATGAATCCAATTGGAGTAGAATAGAGTGGTCGAGTTTGGGGTATGGACCAGCGGAGGGGTCTTACGAATATGGAAATGAATGTTTAGGCTCAATATCACTTCTGAAATTTTTTAGTAATTGTAGAACTAGCGGCTTATAAAGCAGTGCTTAGCCTCCAGAAGTTGAATACTAATTACTATTATTACAGGAGTCCCGGATGGCACATTTGGTATTGTAATGGTAGGAGTTCTGGGAGGGCGGGTTAGAACAAGCCAGTGTATGATTTGTCATATTCACTGCTTACGGACCAACCTTGGAGCACTCCCTGTCTGTCTGCTGAGGACCCCTTTCCCTGGGGAAAGGTAAGAAGTGGCTAATAAGATAGACGTCCCGTAGATCTTATTATCCACCTCCTATTACAGCCGAGGTTAAGGTAATTATAACTCTAACAACCTAATATAATTCTGTGGTAACATTATTATTATTATTATTATTATTATTATTATTGTTATATTTTCAGATCCGCTTACTCTCCAATGCGTTAGACATCCTGCAGGGACAATACGTGTGGAGTCATTTTCCAAATGCACTTTTCCAATCTTCATTTGACTTGAGGGTACGGATGAATTTTCCCATTGAGATGAAAAACTCGACTTTATTTCGTAATTACAAGTGTGCATAAAACAGATGCCCGCGGGTCGCCTTTATGCCGACTGAGATATCCGAAGTGGCCCCCAGCCTACATAAACATTGTGGCGAATTGATTCTATGTAGGAACCTTTGAGCCACGGGAATCTGTAAACACGGCTATTACGCAGCAAGAGGAAAGCGGTATTTTCTCCCTGCCGAGGCAAGCCCAGCCGCTCTGGTTGCTATGCAGCGTTGAAGAAAATACCTCTCGGCAGAGTTGCCCAGCAACACTTCTATTAACACGGCGCTTACGCAACAGTGAAGCGAGGTGCGATTTCCGCTAGTCCGATGG